AACGTGTTGCTCAAACTATGTGTTCGGGATTTGGAAAGTGTGGCGTCACTTGACTGGTGCTACACGCGTTGGAGACGTGTAGCGAGGTCCATATGTAGCCAACATCTAGTAAAGCAAAGGAGTGGAAATTAATTCAAAGCAAATCACTCAAATAACTTCTTTCATCACCATGCCAACCAAATAACCAGGTGACTGAATCATAGTTTAATTTAAACTCCATCGCGAAATGGTTGCAAATCAGAGTCCCCTCACTGGCTCTAGGCTGAGACACGCTTCACCAAAAGAAACTGCTCAAGCTGTTGCAGAAGCACAATCTTGAGGACTTCTGCATCGTGATGCTCGGTTTCTGTTTGCAGAAGCTGATTAAGCATCCTTCTCAATACCGAGGTGCCTGAAACAACATCGTTGTATAGCGAGCCAACCTTCAAAGGAGGCGAGGCAGGCCTTGAAATCGCTGCATCGCCAGTGTCACCGAAAAGGTCATCTGCCTTGTCATTGAAAAGATCATCCATTTCAAAGTCCATCATCAAGTCATCTTTTGGAGGTTTCGAATCAACAGCCTCAGTTGCTTTGTTCTCTTCCTCTTGCGAAACCGTACCACCAAGTATACTGGAGTGATGGTTTTCCATACCCAAAGAGAATTTGTTGCCGAACAGCATTGGGCCAATTCCTCGAGGCTTCACCTCATTGAACCTTGATATCAACTCTGAATCACTCATCTCCGCCGAGTTCTGGCTTGTCAATACAACAAGAAAGGCCAAAAAATCAATCAAGATTCTGCCCTCTTCGGCGCTTGAACCATGAGCTGACTTGTTGCTGTGGTTCATTTTTATCTCGTTGAGCAAAAGCTCGAGGATCTCGTCACTTTCTGTGACTTTCCACATTGTACGGAATGCTCTCCATACGTGATGTTCAGATACTTCATCATCCAGGGTGAGAAACGTCTGCAAAGCTTGTCTAATTGTAGACACCAACGAATCACCCTCTTTGTGCTTCTGCAGCTGAAGAGGACGGTCGACTCTATTATATTCCTCGTCAGCCTTCTTCTTCACAACACGCACCAACTTGAGCATAATCTCCTTGTTTTCCCAGTTTCTGAAAGCATAGAGCGACTCGAGAAGCTCTTTGCCCACGAGATTCAACACGAGTTGAAAGATGTAGTTCGTCTCTGAGCTTTCTTCCTTGTTCTCCCCCAAATTACTCTGGATTATCTTCCATAGTATCTGAAGGAAAATGTCACTGTTCCTTTGCAATGGACCCACGTTTGATACAATCCAGTGTATGATTTCGGCAGAGCTAGGCGCCAAAAAGTCTTGTGATAAGTAGTCAATACCATTGCTGAGATTAGGTGATGCCAAACTGCCCGCAATATTGGCTGTGATAGCGCCTTGAAATATAACAAACACTAATTTGTATATCTGCTTGACATTGACTGACTTGATAAGATCGTCTGATAAGCCATCATTGTTCACATCAAACAATGCATTCGCCCACTCACTCAAAATCTCGTTATACTTGTTCGCAGTGTTGACATCAGCGGGCTTCTCTGGTTCCACTCTGTTCGTGAAGTTAGCACACAGTCTGTAGTAAAAACGGTTCATGAAGTCGATGGTATATGAGTTCCCCAATGACACCGAGACGAAGTCAACTCCAAAGAATTTGGTCATTGCTATTGAGCCCGTCATGAGAATACCAAAGTAGGAAAATGTCTCCTGGAAGTTGTTGTCATCAGCGTCAGCACCAAAGCTGTCATTATCGATGTAGGCAATGAGGGGATCGATGATACCCCATGGACCTTGAGGATCTACGAAGTAAACATAGTTAGTGACCGGTAGACAAATCAGAAGTCCTAACACAAGCCGGACGAGTTTCTCGTTGGATTTTTCCTTTATGAGTTTCTCGAACGAGCTGGAGACAAGGGAGCGTAATTGTTCTTGCTTTGCAATCAGATACTGAATATCTGTGGACGTCAATTCCTCCAAAAAGTTTATGAACAAACTTTCGCTTAAAGAAGTGAATTCAGTGTTGATGTTGAGGAGCTTCGAGTTGAACTCAGACTTGAGATGGTCTGTGTGGCTGAGAACACTCTTCTCGTGGGTGATATGAGACCAAGTCACAGACTCAGAATCTTCTGGAAACGTTTTCGTGTATGAAGACACCGTGACAAGGTCCTGATACATGCAGCTTCGTAAGAAGACTTTACGCAAGTCGTATGGATGGGAGGACCTTCCGCCGACGATCATCTCGGTGATGTATGCATCATTGAATCCAGCAACTGTTTTGAGAATAACACTCTCGATATTAGACGAGCCGTCGTTTTTAGGTCTGGATTCCTTGAGGTAGACAGGAAATCGACTCACGATGTAGTTCTTCCAGTTGAAAAGAACATAAGGGCTTTCCTGTTGCTGGATGGCAATTGAGATACCGTTAAAAAGAATTTGAACCACATCCTTGACGAACTCGTCGAATTTGGTCGTGTCGATATGGAAGAAAGTAATATAGTGCTCCATGAGCTTTTCGATCTTCCACTGCTTGAAGCGCTCATTGAGCCACAATAGCCTCTTGAGCCTGTTTATTTTGATGACTTTTTTAGAATGTTGGTTCAAAGCGAAGGCTTTTCTCACTGGCGTGGCAGTAACCTTCTCTCTTTTAACAGCTCCGACTGCTTGAAGCTCCTTGTGTAAATCTGCTGTATTCAACAAACTGTTCGCTTTTTTGGAAAAGTACGCTAGCTGGCTGGTGCCACCTAAGGTCTGTAGCTGGCTCATAATGTCCAAGGCCAAGCCACGGAATTGCTCTTTCAGAATCACCGAACCGACATTATCAATGATGCTTCCCCACAAGAAAAGCAAATGATACCAAACATTTTTCACTTCTTCGTTTGCATCGGATTGCAATAGACTTTGGTATTGAGCCGTGTAATCGGGCAAAGCTTTATTGACAAAACTCAGAAGCACGGTCTCGGGGAAGGACTTGTAGTGGCTCTTCAAAAACAAGATAAACTCCCGCTGGGCTTCAATGGAAAGACCGTGCAATCCACCCATAAGCTTCTGAGTGTTTGTATCACTCTCTGCTGCAAATGCAAAAGCATATCTGTGTTGAAGTCTCCATAACGATCTATTCTTCGGTAACGATAGAAGGGCACTTGCCAATTCGTTATCAGGGATGGGCGCTTTTTCATTTAGCTGCTTGAGCAAAACCACAAACGCTTTTGGTTGGGTTCTCTTACTAAGCGACGTTTGCACTAGCTTTTCAGCCTTGACTTCTGAAGCCATGGTGGTGGAGTTCTTAGAGTTGGTGCGTAGCCGAGAGCGCACATATACAGAGCTGGTTGCAACAAAATATCGTTTCTTTGATGTACACCTAAACGCCTATATAATAAGAATTTTCCGATTCTCAAGCAAAATGGTAGAAAAAGGGGTTGAGAGAAAATGAAAGTTGCGTATCCGTCAAACTTTGATCCCCAATGCTAGCTTACTGGCACCCCACAGCCTGGCAGAGCCTTGCAAGCCTTGCAAGCCTACCACTTACCCAAGGAGATGGCTGTGGCAGGCTGGGCCTGTGGCGATGTCCAGATTGACCGCAAAAGGCTTCCTTGGAGGTTGCCCTCGAGGTTCTGGTTCCACGAGTCCATGCCTGGTTTCGTCAACGGCTCGGTGTCGTTGATACTCTCCTGAGAGTCAGAGTCGTGGCTGGGCAGCGCTCTGGAAAACAACGAGTGTGAAGGGGACTGACTAGTCAAAGAAGGGTTCGAGACGTTGGATCTGGAGGAGCCCAACACGGACGACGAGTCCAGCAGCGAAGGTGCCATGCTGAACATGTTGGCAGAGAACATGTTGGCGCTGGGTTTCACCTGGCTAACTCTTCCGTAGCCATTGACCAGCTGGGAGTTGATCTGGGGGTTCCAATTCGAACTTTGGTGGTTACTGGTGAGGCTTTGATGGCCCAAGCCCTGGCCACCACCCACTTCCTTGCCGTTGCCATGCAAATCTGGAAAGCTCGTTCCATGGAAATTCTGGCCCTGGGGTCCTTGGGCTCCGTAGTTACCACCGCTCTGAGCTGGATGGCCGTCCATACTCAGATACCCGTGTCCTTCGAGGCTCTGACGCCCACTCAACATGCCAGTCTCTCCAGAAGCACCTCCATGCCAGTTCTGGCCAGCCACATACCGAGGAGTCTCCCGCTGGTTCCAGTTTTGAAATATGTGCTTCTGGTCGTCCACACCCTCTCTATAAGCACCGTGACTAGCAGCCATCAGCGCACTCATCTGGTCCACGTTCAGGTACATCAACGGAAGCCTCCGGGGCTGCCCGTTTTCAGGTCTCTCCACTCTTGCCTGGATGTTGCCCAGGTTGTACCCGTACAAAGCCTGGTTCTGTTTCACTGCAGCTGCTGCTGCCACGGCCGCTAAAGCATACTGTTTTGATTGACTTTTCGTGTTATGCAAGTTTCGGAGTTTTTCGAGCTGTTCACCGAAGGGTTCCAGCTGCAACGGTCTTTTCATTTGGTTAAAAGCCCTTGACAGGTCTTGTTGTAGCTCCAAGCGGCTGCGAAATGTTGCTACAATGCGCTGACGCAGGAAGGGCTCAAATGCCGCTGACAGCCAGTCAGAGGAAGCGAAAAAGAAGGGGTGATCCAGAACGTGAAAGAATGATAATATTTAATAAGAGAAGGCTTCACATCGATAACGTGAAGATATTTAAAAAAAATGTACGCGTTGGTGGCTTGGTCCGGACCAAGGCTTCTACACCTAGCGCTAAGGTGTCTCACAAGCTGCACATGAACGGACCAACCAAAGCTCGATCTCTTTTTTCAAATCTTAACTAAAAGAGTATCAATTGACGATTTGAAGAAGAGAGCTTTGATAGATACGAAATTGTTACATCGTTGGTTCCACTTACAGACTTCACGAGATGATGTCCCAGTTTGTCATCCCGCTCAATACACCCTTCGAACCAGCCTTCACCGCATTAAATAATGTGCCATTGCTATATTATCTTTTAGTTGCTGCCAGCGCTGAGCTGCCAGGCGGGAACACCAACACTCTCGATCGACTTCTTGACAACTTCGTCGTCGTTGTTCTCGCTAGCAGTGTGCTGCTGCCATGCTGCCATCAGGTCCTTCAAGTCTTCCTTGTCCTCTGGCTTCTGGGCTGGGGCCTCGGCCTCGCCGGCCTCGGCCTGCTTCTTCTCTCTCTCGGCCTGCTCCTCGGCCTGCTTGTGCTTGAGCTGCCACTCTGGAATACCGGCGGCAAAAATGTTACCGGGTGTAGAGGGCCTCGTCTCCTTCAGCGTCGTGGCGAAGTTCAGCACGGGCGACTGGGCGTTGCTGCTGTTTTTGCTGTGGTCGCCGCTGTTGGGCTGCGAGGATCCAGCAGAGTTGTTGGTGGGAGCGTTGTTTGTGTTCTTGGCCTTGGCCTTCTTCAAGATCTCGGAAGCGGATGGGATGGACGAGACGGGAGCCACCTTGCGGGGCCCACTGTTGTCCGCCAGCGAGTTCCCGCTGCGTGCCTTGATCAAGTTCTTCAAGGAACCCAATTCCTCAGTGATCTCGGCAAGCTCGTCCTGAAGGTTGTCCTTGGTCAACTTCATGTTCTTCTCCACACTGTTCTTTAAGTTGTCTACCTCGAGCTTCATCAACCGCAAGTCGTCGTCAAACTTCAACTTGTCCTTGTTGTACTTGCTCAAGAAGTCGTTGATGTTGTCAATCACAACGTCGATCTCCTTGAGCTTGCCCTCATTAGCATCTTTAATCTCCTTTTGCTCAGTGCCGAGTTGTTCGAGCACCTTGTCAATCTTGATGAACTCCTCGTCGATCGCCTCCTTGTCGGCATCAATCCTACTCTGCAGTGGGGGGATGATGCTAGGAATCAAGTAGCGTGACACAACCTGGTACAAGCCGTAGGTAACTCCGGCGGTTGCTGTGGCCATGATGAAGTAGTCCTTCCAAGTTCTCTCAGGAGGCTGAGGAGCCATACCGTAGTAGTCATATGGCACCGGTGGTCCTTGAGGCTGCTGAGGCTGTTGAGGCTGGCTGGTGGATGGAGTGACTGTGGTTGATGTCGAAGATGAAGAGGAGGCGTTGTTGGCTCTCTTCAAAGCTTCTTCAATCTCATTTTCATTAAGTCCTTTTGTCTCCAAAAACTCCACTTTCTTGTTTAGCGGCGACAGCGCCACATTGGGGTCCTTGAGAAAGCTGACTGCGCTATTGATCAAGTCCTCATTCATTGGAGTAGGAGGTTGGTTCTGATAGCTGATTACCCCGGCTTGATTCCGAGGTCCTCAAAACACCCGTACCTCCGCTGCCCCACTCGCTCCGGATCACAGGCCCCACTACAGCCCACGGCTGGGTGCCATAGGAAATAAGCTTTCGAGCAATAAATATTTTAACTTTTTTATACTTAAATATTCGGAAAATAGTGAAGATCATCTCTTGATTCTTCGATCATGTGACTTCTGCGGCTGCAAATCCACCTTCCGTCTATGATACATGACATGGCTTCTAAAGAAACTTGAGAAGCTCCTCGTATATACACCAACTGATACCGGCACTAAGACCCTTACGTCCTAGTCTGAGCGAAAGTCCGTTGAAGAGATTGCGGGCTCCACCAGGTTCCAGCATAATCTGCCTAGTGGCTGCCCAAATCGTGGGCGGCTTACCAACACTGACGATAAGCTGTAGTCTTGTCTTCACTGCATCGAATGGTGCGGTGATGCTCGTAGCCACCAGTGCAGCCAATACCGCTGACAGAGAGTTCGTCACACTGGCAAGGTAATTGTCTGGAATGCTAGCTTTGAAAGGGACAATGAGCTGGGGCATGACATCGTTTTTGAAGCTCTCGTAGAAGAGAACATAAAGCCCTGCGTAAGGACAGTCTCGAGCTAGCGTGGCGGCCGTACCTTTGAAAAAGTTTCTGAAGGAGCCCTTGGGGCCCTCGCCTTCGTTGTAGATGCCCTCGAATCCCTCATACATAGAGTTGTAATTGTACAAATTAGACTCGAATCGGGTTTTTATGATTGTGATTGGCATTGTGATGATGCCCACGGCCGCTCTAACGACAAACCCGGTGGCCAAGTTTTCCGCATGTGAGAGTTTGGGTAACACACTGGACGACGACTTTTCACTAACCTGTTTCAAGCTCGCCAAGTACGTTCTAGTTTGTGAAAGTATCGTGAAGTAGAGCCCAGCGCCCACCGATGTTCGTAAAGTGGATGGCAATGCGCCTCGCCACAAGTCTTTGATGTTGGCTAATTTTTTGAGTTCTTTGCTGATAGACGTTTGCAAGCCGGTGTTGCTGCGTCTCTGTTGTTGCAACCTTGTCTTCAATAAATCCAATGGCTGGAGAGTGAAGGCGGATATTAAACCAGCGGTACCCCCGGAAATAAGGTGGATAGTAGTGGTGGGCACCTTGGCTTCAAGCGAAGCTTTCGGTGCTGGAGGTGTTTGCTCATGGTCCATGAGAAGGTCTTTGGGGAGATTTGCACCGAGGAGGAAACAGTGCTGAGAAATGTGTGAAAAGAAGCAAGCCCTGGTTCGTACTTGAGCAGATTTGGGCTCTTTAAGAGCCCCGTCTATATGCAAGTCCATCCTATTGAAGCGATGGTTGGCAGGTGGATCGAGCCTAGCGAGTAGTCTGTATCCAGGCATTTATAACGATCACAAGACAGTCAATCCCAAAAGGGACCAAAATTGTGTCATTGGCTGTATTCCGTTATGGAATAGTGTTCTTTAACGTGTTTCCGAGGAATTTACCTGTGCGCTGCACTTCGACGTCATTTACCGCCAGATATGGTCTAGGAACTTTCGCAGCCTGTGGCTTATAACCAATTCTCCGTCAACCGGTTCCAAAACGTCGCTTCCCTCGATAGAAAGATGCAAAGAATGCTTAAGGAGAGAGACACTGCAGACAGCGAGAAATGAATGGAACGGATCTGGGAACGCCTCAGTGTCCTTGGCAAAGCCGCCTATAAGCTTATGCTGGGTCCTGTCAAGCAAGTAGTCGAGAAGACCTTGGTCGTTTATCAACCCAACCCCGTCTTCACTTAAAAGATTGAGCAGCCCAACCACCCACCACAGGTAGCAGGTGTCTGCAAATTTGTTTTCTCTGCCATTGAATCCTCCGATGTCGCATTCTTGGTAATATTCATAGGATGTACCTTTGTAGAGACCCGCAGGATAGTCGACTTGTCTATGGACTAGCCATTGTTTCGTGAGCTCGACCCACTCAGAGTGCTTGGGTGCCGAAAGGTCGGTCCCAAGAAGCCTGAGTGCTGCAATTCCACAAAAGGTGAGACCTGAATGGGACTCGGTGTGTGAAGACGATGAAAGACCACCATTGAAGTTGACCTTGTCCAAAATGAAAGCCTCCAAGCTTGACACGTCAATATCAAACGGCCTATTCTCAAGCTTGTCGTATCCTAGCATCTTCCTGATACCAGCTGCAATGTAGCATAAACGAAGATCCGACTCTCCCCAAGGCTGACCCTTAGGATCGATGACGGGTCTGAAGGAGCCCTTGTTCTCTCCTTCCCTTATCTGACATCGGCTGACAAACCTCATTATCCTGTCTCTGTCGAGCTTCTTCGAGAAGTCCTCCTCAAAGGCTAACAACGTCGCTAGCGCAAAGAAGGTAGCCAGCAAGTTGGGAAGATCATAGTCAGCGTTCTTCTCGTCCAATGCAAAAGTCTGACTAGACCTAAATCCTGAAATCTCCCCGTCATAGCTCGGGATCAAGTAGGCATAGATATCTGCGACAGCTGCCTCTCTGTCTATGTCCTTTTCCAATCTCCCCAACAAAGCAAGACCGTGAACAGTAAAGTATATGAGAGCTAACTTATTGGAGTCTTCAGACTGCGCCTTGGCAGGCATTGACTTCAGGCATAGCCGGAAGTAGTTAGCGTGTTTCTCTGCTAAGAAGGACATAGTGTGGAAATTCGCACAGGACCGATCTTGAATTAGAGAAGAATGTGGAGACGGAGGGTCCCTCTGAGGTTTTAGGGAGATGGGGAATTGATGTTATATTTTGAGAGAATCACAAAAATACGTAAAATCTTTATTTTCGAATTTTGATGTATTATATATGTTTTTACATTTTTGGAATGGTTGCAAATTACGCTGTGAACTGACTATCCTGTACTGGTTTTGCGAATCATGACGTTTCATATATCTATATAATTTCATTTTTGAGGATTTCATAGAGATCCAAGTGTATTCCACTAGCTTCAGCCTGACAATTGGTTATAATGGAAGCAATGACTGGTAGTTTATCGCACACTTTTAATGTTGTAGAGTAGCAGTGCATCGTGGGATCCAGTTTTAGTAGATCATGATGAACCTTTGAAGAGTCAACCAGGCACTCGACCCAATCAATGTCGTAGTTTGTTAATTTTGAATCGGATTGCTGCGGGAGACAGCCGTTCTCGGGCACTTCTGTCAACCCAAATGAAAACAGCGAGAGGTCGATGTTCAAACCACACCCCAAGTATTTCGTAAATGCCTCTTTCAACGTCCACAAATGGTTGAATGCATTATAACGCTCCGAAGTAGTCTTAATGCTATTCAATTGTTCTACCTCTGAGCCTCCGAAGATACCCTCAAATTGGCTCATGAACTCCGTAGAGGAGACTGAGTCCTGCTCTTCATGGGATAAGTCGACTCCAACTGCTGTTGCTTCCAACAGTATAGCTATGCATGATAAATCATTGGAGTTGCTGTTGTTGTAGGCGAATGGGCGTCCTTTGATCTCAGGCTTACCATGCTCATTGTATTCAAACTCAATCTCTTCCCACAAACCTCTGGGATGATCTGGATATATTGACAGTAGAGCGAAGTTCACAGCACACTTCAAGAACAAACGCGATAGTAGAGCAAGCTGCTTGTTGTGCTTGACATTGCGGACTTGTAGTTGGTCTTTCAAACTCAAGAGTCGAAGACAACTCTCGAAGTTGTAGTCATCGTTCAAAAGCTGTCGGAGTCTGTAATCTCCTCTGGAGCATGTGAAAAGTATGGTCGGGTGCTTTTTATGGTCCCATTGATTCATTTTATAGTTGGCAGGTCATTATCAGTATGGTACTCTTGATATCGCACTGTTAGATAGTGTTGCAGCCATTTGAGTCATACACACAATTCCATCTCCTGCTACGATTTACAATTTTAAAGATCCATCCGCTAGAATTTTGACTCCCAGAGCTTTATTATATCTATAATTTTATTTAGAGTCGTACACATTGTACAACTTCTGCACCTCTGTGGTCTCACAAGGGTTCCTCTTAGCTTCCTCGGCTGTTTCACGAAGAACTTTCTTCAAATTCTCTATAGCTTCGTCGCTGATCTGGAAATGGAAAGCCAAACGACTGCCGTAAGCCTTGACGTCGTGCTTCTCAGCAGACTTGACGAAAAAGTCATTGTCAATCTTACTGGCTGCAAGATCGATGAACACAAAATTGGTATGCACTGGATGCTCAAGCACAAAGCCAAGCTCCTCACAGTACTTACCAATTTCCTTTGCCCTCTCGTCAACTTGTGTCAACTTCGCCATGTTGTCATCAATAGCGACCAGGGCCATTTCAGCCAATAGACCGCTCTGTCTGATACCACCACCATTCTGCTTACGGAAATGGTTTGCCTTTCTGATGAACTTGTTCAGGCCCACAAGCACTGAGCCAATTGGGGCACCCAATGACTTCGATAAGCAAAGAGACACGGAATCGAAGTATGAGGCGTACTCAGCGATTGAGATACCTGTAGCGGCGGAAGCATTCCACAAACGGGCACCGTCCAAATGCAAACGGACATCGTTCTTCTTACAGAAGGCAGAAATTTTCTTAATCTCGTCTAGCGGGAACAACATGCCATGCAATGTATTCTCCAAGGAGATAACCTTGGTAGGACAGCTGTGGATTTCTCCATCATCTGGAACGAAATTTGGCAAAATGTCGTCCTTCAAAGTCAAGTGAATGCCATTTTTGGGCGCCACGGTCTGAACCATAGCCTGGGAAAGCGTTGGCAAACCACCTGCTTCGTGAATGTAGACATGCGATCTGTGGTCACAGAGTACTCCATGTGGAGGCTGGAACAAATTGGATCTCAAGGCAATCTGATTCAGCAATGTTCCCGAAACACAAAAAAGGCCAGCCTCCTTTCCAGCAAGCTTGGCGACCTTATCTTCCAACCTGGTTGTGGAATCGTCTTCGTTATAGACTGCGTCTCCGAGAGTAGCTTTCGACAA